GAATATTTATCGTGGTGTACTTAACGCTTGAGTGGTCGCTTGAAAGTACAGCCCGCGACCAGTTCTATTGGAGAAATCCCCCATGGGTGCAGTTGCTGGTCTCGTAATTGCAAAGGTCGCACCACTGTCGAGCACTGAAACACATCAATTAGGCGGCAGGAGGCTTAGGGTCGGATCCCGTACGCGCCATGGATACGTACACGCCCAGCGGGGCGGTATCTCATTCACATAGTATCACTGATCTGCTATACTCTCTCGACTCGGGTGTTTTCCCTCTCTTCGGCGTCCATTATCTCTCATCTCGCTGTCTGCTTCTTGAACTTTTGAACTTCTCTGCATCGTGGAAGAGCGAAACTCGTATTCTCGTCGTTTTAAACGTTTTCTTTTCTTTATTTTTTGGCTGGAAGCCACTTAATACCTCTTGTTTCACATTAGAATAGAAGAACCTGCGCTCATGTCGTTAGGGGGACACCGAAGTGAGCCACTCATAGAAATTGGGACTAAATCCTTAGGGAGGAAAGATTTTGGTGGAGGGCATGAGCAACCATTGTTCTCCCTGACGTTTCTCCCCTCTCTGGGCTCAGTCCTGGTGTCACCAACTAGCGGTTTTCGAAGCCCTGTTTTGAATGTCCCCCCTCCCCCCCCCTAAGAGCATGATCGACGAGTTACCGCATCAACTATATCATGGTATGAATTTTCGTTCGGCATCGAGTAAACTATGACGCTTTTTTTAAATTTGCCGGCGATCCCCAACAACATAGAAATTGGTCGCTTCGCAGGAAAGGCAGGGACTCCTTTAACCCTTAGACTACGACTTTTTTAGAATCGAGTTATAAATGTGTTCTGCGTTGCAATTATCCCTCCCAGCAACAGGCAACCAGCTGTAGAAATTTGGCTGATGTACGTTGGGTGTGACCTGGGATTTGATCTAGGGACCACGCGCGCGGTAGCGGCCCCTCTTGCCATTACACCATCTTCCGCTCAGATGAGCATTTTTGAAACATCAACTGGTAATTCAGTTACCATTCGACAAGTGCACACTCTCACAGCTCAATCGTGCAATAAGCCAGTGTCCTGTTGGGAACGCACTTGAAAAGAATTGCAAGCCGCATTTTGTAGAAGTGCTGCTCTACTGCCTGTAGGATGCGCCCACCGACTGCTTCTTCTTTGACGAATTTTCGTTGGATTCATGCTCAAAAGATCTGCGTCACCATAGGGGTCTTCTTATCACTTCCTCACCATCCAAACTGACAGAACTCTGGAGGTTAGAATTTCCAACGCAGTCCGTAGTAGGCTGCGTCGTCCTCTGACTGGATTGCGGCCGATAAAATGCCTCTGTACGTCATCAGTTTGCTTACGTTTCACGTGATACAATAATTAAGGGAAACACTAGAACCATTAGCGCAAGGATGAAGAGTGTGAGACTCAAAAATTACCTTTTTGGCAGCTGCGCACACTGTCCAGTGACCTGTGGTACCACTTGCTTACTAAACTATCCAAAGTAACTCGTTCTGACTTGTGACAATTTGGTGTCACAGTAAGAATCATAAAGTTTCTATTCGTGCATAATTTCCCTATCAAACGGGCTCTACGATCTCTATAAGTGCCAAAACTGTGGTAGTGTCTTTGACTACGAAGTGGGACACATGTGTACCACCAGTAGTCAAAGATTAACTTACGCAGGATGACTCGCTTTAGCTTCTGACGACTAATTGTCATAGTAGGAATTAGAAAGCTTCTATATGTGCACAGTTCAGCCATCAAATGAGCCCTCCTGCCTCAATATTCCCTGGAACTGTGGTAGTGTCTTTGACTACGAAGTGGGACACATGTGTCCCACCAGTAGTCAAAGGGTTAAAGCGACCAGGAGGGGGCAGAAACGGGGGATCGGACCCGCTTACCTTAGTCTTCTTCCCCCCCCCAACTTCCTCAAGACACAGTTCCTTTCCAACAAAGTGGAAATGGTCAGGTGGCCTTAAATGCATCTACACCATGCCCCCTATTCTTGTGTTACCTCCCAAAATTGTATTTAGGGGGTGGGAGCCAACGTTGCGCTGCTACTATCCTCGAATGTCCTCAAAAGTACGGTAGTATGTACTGAACTTTAGGCCTTTAGCTGTAGCAAGGCTGAAGAAAAAATATGGACTCAGAACAATTAAACATTATCTTCGAGACCACGCCAAGAAACAGTTGGCCCAATGGATCCCTGACATGGACACCTGTTGATGCGAGAGTTCATTATTCATTCTTGGAAATGTGCCAACATGTTCTTTTTACTTATCATTCTTATCGTCCTGCAGACCCTAGTGGGTAAAAAGCTCAAAGGCAGTCTACTATGAAAGGTGAACCCATTGAAAATTGAGGTAGAGGGGTAAGTGGTGCAGGGATGAGAAACGGTTCAGAACCCAAGAAATGTGACCCATTCCCTTTCTGCTAATTTCCGCATTGATGCGACTCTCATCGGTGCTGCCCTCTTCAACGCTAACGCTCTCTCTGCTGAACGGCTAGAGTCAGACGGCGAGAGGGTGGGCGTGTCACAGAGCAGGTATGGCCCTGCTGGGCCATTGGTGGCGTACTCTTCGCTGCAAAAAGCGCATCATCCTGAACCCTAAGGGGAAGCGTTTACCTTTCGGTTTGATATACTTCCCCTTCTTCAACAGCCGCCCTTATCGTGAATCCTCCTCTAACGAACGAATTAGCCTTTCCTCTAACAAGGCTAGAACTCTCCGTCGCTTTTTAAATCAACTACAGTTCTCGATTCTTCAATTGTTTTTGACAATTCTTTCAGAAGAGTGTGCAGTTTCGGATACTGTAAAGCTAAAGGTCTCCTACATTGTGTGGGTAGGTTCTTAGGTCTTACAATATGTGTTTAGGCGAATCCAATGATGATTTCCCCAGTGGGTATGGCTGAAGTCATTTTTGCTAAGACGTGATGCGTTGGCTAGCTGGCCATTGATCCGATGAGGAGATTAATGGTCGGATGGAAGAGAAAAGCGGGGGACGCAATGAGTGACAGAGTGAGGGATTGAGGCGAAGGGGCTCCCTTACCCGTCCTCGATCTAATCACTCCGTACATATGCCCAATGCGGTTATCGATAATGTTATTAGCCGACAACATGGCTCAAGTTGGCTGAGTGCGTATGTGTGAGGCGAGAGTGCGTGTGCAAAGGATTAATCATTCGTTAAGAGGGGGTGTTCACATGTCGTTCGTGGGGAAGTGCTTTTCATGCTCAGATTAGCTTGATATTTTTAACCATTGGAACAACAGGTTGTAAAGGGCAGTTGTAGTTTTTCATAAGGTGGACTTAAAGGCAGCGATTATGGTAATTTGGGGTGATCAAAATTGACAACAGAGATGCTAAATGGTGTGCCAGTGAAGAAGAAACTTTATCAACTCGTCACTAAACCAACAACGGGAACCCTCACCTTGCCCTTCCAATTTGGACGAGTTTACGGTTTAATTCTGATCACATAGGTGAGTAGTCCACAATAGAATTTGAGAGGCGACAAAATCACAAATTATCACCGTTCAATGCGGAATGCCCTTTCGTAGTGAAAACCGAACTCTAATGATGGGGAAATCGCGAAGGACAACATACACGTTTGGGGGCGGGGATTTTCGAGGAGGCGGGTCAGTTTTGGGATCGAAGCTCAACTGCGCCGAGACGAACGCACCATTCGTCCCTGAAAAGCCACACCTGGAATCTTTGCCGTCTGGTTACCGCTTCCACAGTTTCATATACTTCCCTGGTGCAGATCGATTTTATCGTGTTCGCTGCCTTTAAGTTCAGAAGCTTTACCTCATGCGGGGCTGAGCTACCATTCTCTAGTTCTGTTACGAGCTCGAGCGAACCTAATGTGTTCCATAGGCTACCGAAGCTCCTGGCCCACCCTCAGATATTCGTAGCTTCTATGATAGAGAAGACCTACATATGGTTCACGTATGGACCATCAACTGGAAGTGACCGCTATCTATGATCAATGTTAGCAGGCTGATGATTTCATACCCAAACCTATTTTTCCCATCGCTACCCATTTCCTCTATGCTCTAGTTATTAGTTCTAACACGAGGGCAACCAGGAGACAGTCCTGTTCGAGAATTTTCCAGGTAGGGTTGCACCACCGCGAGCCCATGAGCTTTGTCCTTCAAGTCAAACCCTGCGTTCGGACGCAACTTATAAATTTGTAGGTCCTCCCTATCCCTTCCCCCTTCCCCCACTACCCCCACTAGGGGGAATCATTGTATAGGAGTACAGGATTCGACTCTGTATAGCTACGTAGTTCGCACACCAACTCTGAGAAACCTGTCAGGCGCTTCCTTTAGTAACGGACGCTCGGCTTGTACGAATGAGCCACTCGAAATACTACCTTTATGCAGAAGGTTATGCCGATGTCGTTGCAAAACTCTTTATCATTTCTCTTCTTTATCG